TTGCGTTTTATAGTCAAAATCTTTTCCAAAAAGATCTTTTCAGCTCCATCGGATGGATCCACCGGCAGCAGATATGAATGCTATCAGGGAGGTGTATATGGTAGCAAGAGCTCAAACCTTGATCGCTCTTTGTGGAACTGTCCCTGGATATTGGTTCACTGTTGCTTTCATAGATGTAATTGGACGTTGGTGGATTCAGATGATGGGATTCTTTTTCATGACTGTTTTCATGTTTGCTATTGCCTTTCCCTACAAATATTGGCAGCAAAAGGAGAACCGTATTGGTTTCATTATAATGTACGGGCTCACCTTCTTCTTTGCCAACTTTGGTCCTAATGCCACCACCTTCGTGGTTCCCGCAGAAGTCTTCCCAGCTAGGTTGAGATCTACTTGCCATGGTATATCCGCAGCAACTGGAAAAGCCGGAGCCATTATAGGAGCCTTCGGATTTGTGTATGCCTCACAAGAGAAGGACCCAGCTAAGAGAGACCATGGTTATCCCGCTGGTATTGGAAAAAGCAAGTCCCTCATTGTGCTCGGTGTTATTAACTTCCTAGGTATGGTGTGCACTTTAATGGTTCCTGAGTCTAAGGGTAAGTCTCTTGAAGAATTAGCTGGTGAAGTTGAGCTTGATGAAGTTGACGACGAACGCAGGAGTTCTGCTTGATTAGTGCTTGGTTTTTTGGCGTACATACTAATCATGTGATTCATTTTGTTTTGATATTTATTTGTATTTTCTTTGTTCGCTTCATATTTTCATTGTTCGTACCCTAAGCCAATGTTGATTTTTGTAATTGGGTTCGAATATTTATTTTTTTTACTTATCATGTTTTTCCTATTTATAAATTTAATTTTTTGTAAAGAATTAAATTATTTGATTTGCTACTTTAATGTAGCTATTGAATGCAGTGAAAATTATTTTAATATCTTTTAGTGTCTCTCTTTCATCTTACCAAATTTGGTAATTAAATTATTTGCGTCTTTTAAATGTGAATGATTAAGTTATGAAATTGGTTCTTATTAGTACTTTTTTTTAAACATAGTTTCATCCCCAAATTGGTCCCCTATCTATATATTAAACAGACTTGTAATCATCATTCATGAGGCTTCGCATGAAGAACCTGAAAAAAAGAAAAAGAAAAAGAAAAAAGAAAAGAAAAACAATTGAAATTTTACACATTGAATAATATATAATCAAGACCAAAATGATAAAATGAATGAACAACCGCAAGTCCCCAACTAATAACTCAACCTATCCGGGCTTAACCACCTCGAATCGATCCTAAGGACAATCATCCTGAAGGAATGAAAAAAATTATTAGTAGAAAACCTTGGAAATATGCAAGTTTTCATTACAATTTTTTTTTTTTAGTGAAATCAAACATGCTAGTGATGCTACTAGATGATAATTATTACTTCGTATTTGGTAGCTCATTAAAGGCTCCACAACTCATTCTTAATAATACTCCCAGCTCAATGAAATTCTTGTAGCATTCTTAATGACACTTCATCCCAATGAATTCATTGGTGGATCTCAAGCCAAATTAAGGCTAACTTATAAATTGTATTGTTTCGGATGATATTTTTTATTAAGGCGATCATTGATCGAATCTGCGATTTATGTAACTTGTTCTAAGATGATTTGTACTTGCGTTGGAATTTTAGATTTCCTAGGAATTATTTGTAAGTGTTGTTTGGCTATCTTTAATTAATGAAATCCTTTTAAACTTCCTCTTAACTTGTAAAAAAAAAAAACCACATATGTTGAAAGAGGACAATAATTCACAAGAAAAAGTGAACTTGATCTTTTAAAACTTTTATCTCAAAATTTAGGTTACCATCTTGGCTTGCCTTAATTAGATCCAAGGAAAGGCAAGACAACATAAACCAAGGCAACACGAGACAAGGTAATAACAAGGTCAATGTATCTTAAGACATGATGATAAGGGTGGACCAAGGCTTGAATAAGATGGTTCTTGTCACCAAGTAGGGTACCTAAAGCCTTTTGGGAACCCTAGGAAACACATCGATGTATAACCCTGTTGACTTGTTGAGTCCAAAATTGTTCTCTAGAAGCCAAAGTTGAAGGTATAACACATAAAATATAATCAATTTTCAGGACCCTATGTCAAATATTCACAAAATCGTAGGGGGCGTAACTTTGGGGTGTCTTATTATGTTGTTTTTGAACTATATATGCCCCTTAATCAGTTACATAATTATAAAGGCCCATAGTGGTCTTAAGCTAATTAATGAAAGGAGGAGTATACAAAAATAGCCATATTGACAGTTTAAAGGCAAAATGGACGATACCAGCTACTTAAATGGCCTCTTGGGAAGTCGTGGGGCAATTGTCGACCTCTTTCATTTTCAAGTTTAAAAAATAAAAAAAGTTTCATATTGAAGGCTATAATCCATGATTTTAGTTTAATTTTGAAGGTTTTGGGCTTGATGTCGAAAAATCTTTGGGATAGTTTGGGATGCATTCTAAAATCATATATTATTTTTTTGGAACTATATATGACCATTAGTTGGCCGTCATATAAACATCATGGTGGTCTTAAGTTAATTAAGAGAGCCCGGGGTGTAAGAAAGTGGCTAAATTTAATGGTCTAATAGCAGATTGAATGTTTTCAAATTACCCAAATGGACTCCTTAGGGGTCACGAGGTCTGTGGAAGAGCCACGGCCACTTTAATTTTCACGTCTTAAAAATTCCAAAAATGAAAGGTCGTAACACACTAAAGCGAACCAATTTCATAGGTTTTAATTGGGACTCGGGGCAATTCCGATTTACTGAAAACAACTTAATTGAACTGATTGGAGCTGAACTGAACTGTTTATGAGAGAAGGAAATTAGGAACTGAACTAAACTAAAATGAACCGATTGGAGCTGAACTAAACTAAAATTAAGCTGAACAGAACAGGCCTTTGATATTGAAAAATCTCGAGATTATAAGGATTGCATATTGGGGTCATACAATATTGTTTGGACCCATTTTCTTTACCACATCCAAGTTCATATAAAGTCTTATGGTGGTTTTTAAGTCAATCAATGCAATGAAGGAAGGCATAAGTTGTAAAATGGGTAAATACCTAGGTGGACTCTTATTGGATGTAACTTGGCCTCTTTCCGTTTTACATGTCAATGTAATAGTTTAACTTTATTTAAATATAGTTAAAAAAGTAAATATAAAAAATTTATTATGAAACTTTATTTAAGTACCTTTTAACACTATATATCATGAACAAAGTATATATTTATTTAATTTGTAAAAAAGAATTAACATTTAAAGTGAATATATGAATAGTGAAAAAGTGTAACATATCTGTTATTTTGGAACAAAAGGCGTATTTACTAACTGAAACTCAATGTTTTAATTTCACAATAAATTTCTCCTCTTACCTTATTTCATTCATATGGTAATATACACACACTTTTTGCCACTAATGATGAATCGCTGACGATCGATATGAGCAAGTCATTAACTAAAACTACAAACAGAATTAGTGTTTAAGCAACTATACTGGTTCAACTAGTCTATTATAGCTAGAGGTGTCAAAATCTGACCCAATCTGGAAAATATTCAATTTGGATTTCGACTCGCATGAGCACAATTATTTAGCATGACTCGCGTTTGAAATTAAATAGACCCGACTCAGCCTCACTGAACCTAATTCAAACACTTGAATTGACACCTCTAATTACAACAAACAAAATAAATAAAAAACCCATTAACCAATACGCTACGTACAACGCAGATTGGTAGATGGTATGTAAGTCTCTCATTTTTCAATTTTTAATTTTTTTTAATTTTTTTTGATGAGTAGTCTCTCACTTTGTCAAAAAAAAATCCGTATTTTTTTACTCCCTCGGTTATTTTTAAATGCATCACTTGAGAATTTGCGCTATTTATATGTTACATTTGACTTAATTTTTTCACTACTATATAATTTATAAATATGGTCATGTTGCAATATATTGTTGGATTTATTACAATGTCTACTATCATAATATAATTTTGTTATAATTTTTAACTAATATCTAATTAAAGATATTAATGGTCAAAGTTGTCTCGACAAGTGTGAAAACTCAAGTGATGCATTAAAAAAATAGAGGGAGTATAACGTAATTAGAGACTAGATTAGTCCCGTGCAATGCACGGATTTCTTTGAAATATAGAGTATATATTTTATGTATTCTTACGTATCAGAAAAATTATTGAGACATAACCATTAGTTGTAAATGATAATTTTATAAAATTAATTTTGAAGTAGAACAAACCAAATATGAAAATTTAAGCATATACATAAAAGTTAGATTTTTAATATACGATTTTAATTAAGCAAATAAAAAAATGATTTTAAACTTCTAATATGTAAAGGAAAATAGAAAAATATATACATTAAAGTATTTTGTTTGATGAATCATAAGGGAAAGATGTATTAGATACCAATAGTTGGTGATAGAAGAAAAATAAATAAATTAAAGAGTATAGATAAATTGAGAGGAGAAGAAATTAAATTTGAAATCTGAAACCAAAGAAAATATAATGAGATCAGATTTTTATTTAGGCGGGAAATTTTTTCTTATAAAGCTGCCACGTGGACATATGATATCAGCGGTTGTTCCTTTAGTTTGTTTATTTATAGATAGATAGATTGTGTGTAAGTAAATTTCTTCTAAAAATATATATATATATATATATATATACTAATTAATGCCAACAAGTATAGATAGAATGCAACGGATTTATAGTAGATCAGATGAAGAAAGCTGTAACCCTTGCATATAGACATATAGTTGCATGTAGTAGGAACTTATCAAACATTAAGATTAAAAAATTGAGAGATATTTTCTGATGCACTGTTTTTTTACTAGTTGACTTAAAACTATAATATTAGTTTAACAACAGATACCAAAATATAATGAATTAATATATCAAATATATACATGTATGGCTGGACAGTTGGTTTCTTATTGTCATGTAAGAAACATAAGAATTTCCACTTGCGGAAATTTTCATTCATATAAACATATATATTTGCATGTAAACTTTATTAAAAACTATTTGTTAAAACGTGAAAGAGTATATGCTTATAAGATTACGGAGTAGATTCCGGAAGAATGTTTAAACGTGATTTTCCTTTAAATACTTGTGTTTTTTCCCTCCAATTTCTTCACAAATCAAATTCTCTCTTCTACTTGGGCTTCTTCCTCCTCTTCCAAAGGGTTAGTAAACAATCTTCCTCTGATAATATTTCTCTTGTCCTAGCTTAGTGATATACTCGTATATAGTCTTGTGATGATATACATACGTGGTATATTTTGGTAAATATGTGCTACAAAATATATTAATCATAAATTACAAAATATATATATATAGTGCAATAATTTGATTATTGATTCAAGTTCAAGGTATATATAATTCATCAGTATCTATCCCTAAATAATGTAATTTACCTTGCAGGTCTTGTACAGTATAAGGTCGATAACGAGTTGGAAAACTGGAGAACAAAAAGAGAGGATTTAATGGTGAAAGGACAACAACTAGAAGTGCTGAATGCACTTGATGTTGCGAAAACACAATGGTACCATTTTACAGCAATTGTGATTGCTGGTATGGGATTCTTTACAGATGCATACGATTTGTTTTGCTCTTTGTTGACAAAGCTTCTAGGCCGCATTTACTATGATGTACCTGGAGCAAGTAAGCCAGGAGCATTGCCTATTAATGTCTCAGCTGCTGTAAGTGGAGTTGCCCTTTGTGGGACTCTAGCTGGACAACTCTTCTTCGGCTGGCTCGGAGACAAAATGGGGAGGAAGAAGGTGTATGGTATTACATTAGTTATGATGGTTGCAATGTCCATTGCCTCTGGTCTCTCCTTTGGGAGCACCGCCAAGAGTGTCATGACAACACTTTGCTTCTTTCGTTTTTGGCTTGGATTTGGTGTTGGAGGAGATTACCCTCTATCTGCCACCATCATGTCTGAGTATGCTAATAAGAAGACTCGTGGAAGTTTCATCGCCGCTGTCTTTGCTATGCAAGGTATGGGTATCTTAGCTGGTGGGATTGTTTCCTTGATTGTTTCATCCGCATTTGAGGCCAAATTCAAGCCTCCCCCTTACAAAGTAAACGCGGTTGCCTCCCTACCACCGGAGTGTGATTACATTTGGCGTATTGTCTTGATGTTTGGAGCCATACCTGCCGCCACAACATACTATTGGCGTATGCAAATGCCTGAAACAGCTAGGTACACTGCTCTTGTGGCAAAGGATGCTAAGCAAGCTGCTTCAGACATGTCCAAAGTTCTCAAGGTTCAAATAGATGCCGAGGAGGAAAAGGTTGACAAAATAGCAAAGAGTGAGAGGAATCAATTTGGACTTTTCACAAAACAATTTGCTCGCCAATACGGTCTTCGTCTCCTAGGAACTACCAGCACGTGGTTCTTACTCGACATTGCATTTTATAGTCAAAACCTTTTCCAAAAAGATCTTTTCACCTCTATTGGGTGGATCCCACCAGCAGCAGATATGAATGCTATTAGGGAAGTGTATATGGTAGCAAGAGCTCAAACCTTGATCGCTCTTTGTGGAACTGTCCCCGGATATTGGTTTACTGTTGCTTTCATAGATATTATTGGTCGTTGGTGGATTCAGATGATGGGATTCTTTTTCATGACCGTCTTCATGTTTGCTATTGCCTTTCCTTACAAATATTGGCAACAAAAAGAGAATCGCATTGGGTTCATTATCATGTATGGGCTCACCTTCTTTTTTGCCAACTTTGGTCCTAATGCCACTACCTTTGTTGTGCCTGCTGAGGTCTTCCCAGCTAGATTGAGATCTACATGCCATGGTATATCTGCTGCAACAGGAAAAGCTGGTGCCATAATAGGTGCCTTTGGATTTGTGTACGCGTCACAAGAGAAAGATCCGGCTAAGAGAGATCATGGTTATCCCGCCGGAATTGGGAAGAGTAAGTCTCTTATCGTGCTTGGTGTCATCAACTTCTTAGGTATGGTGTGCACTCTAATGGTTCCTGAATCAAAGGGTAAGTCTCTTGAAGAATTAGCTGGGGAGGTTGAAATCGATGAAGTTGATGATGAACGCAAGGAATCTGCTTGATTTAAACTATGGTGACTTGAAGATGTTGCCTTCTGGTCAATTCCAGAATTACCAGATTTTTAAAATTATTTTTACCTCTTGTTTTTGTTATTTGTATTGAGCACCAATGATTAGTTGGGTTCAAAACCCGCTTGCCTTCATAATGTTTTTAAAATTATTTATTTTGCTACTAATTAAAAGTAGCTAATGGATATTCCAATACAAAGTACTCCATATAACTTTGTACTCCTTTTTCAAATATACTAAATATGTCTCTTTTTAATAATTCATTGTCGCACTTTTTTTTTTATATACTTTCTCTATTGTTTATTTATTTATTGCACCATTAGCGCTTTTATGTTTGTCAATGCATACTTTGGTTATTTATGTATATAGTTATAATTTTGCAAAAAAATATAATATTTATATTTAAAAAGTAAACCTAAAAAGTCTTTATGGTGCAATAAAAGTAAAATGGAAGAAATATTTTTGTACAAGAATATCGCACTTTTATTAATAATGTCATGAACCCAATAAAGTTTAATTACTTCTCTTTTCTCACTATTATACTACTTGGTAAAAATTATTGTGACAATGTCATTCTGTTTCTTAGTCAAAAATTTTCTCACCATTTCAAAAAAAAAAAAAAAAAAAAAAAAGTACTTTTTTGTTATTACTTATTACTCACCTCACCCCAATGTTGTTCAAAAGTTTACCTTTTCATACATCCCATGTTAGTTTGAACACTTTTTATTTAGAAAAGACCCTACTTTTGTAAAGAAAAAAAAAAAAAAAAAGAAGAAGAAGAAAAGACCCTACTTATTTCTCAATGAATGAAAAAATTACCCCACTATCTTATGTCAAATCTACTTTTATCGATTAATAAAATAACACCTCGTCACTATTTCCCACCATATAATTGAAGATTTCAATATATTATCAACTACGTACATAAATCTTGTGCTTAGAGAATTGTTTAAACTACGAGTACATAGGATGCATGAAGGGTGTATATACTTATCGCATAAAAACGTGTGTAAATATGTGTGGTATGGAGTATTAAATTTAGAAAAAATGAGTAATTGATTTCGCATAAAGTAGTATTAAGTTTGAAATGTCTGACAAAATCACACGTCGATTGGTGTAATTAATATTAATTTTAACTTATCTAACGCCCTCAAAACGCTATTTAGCTTTTGCCCAAAACTAATACTCCTTGAATCCTTTAAGGTTCTTTAACTACATCTGAAAATAGTTTATAATTGTTCTTGTTAGGACATTTCAGATGACGTTTATCCATAATTCCATGAGAATAGATAAAGCAAAAGACTAACCAACATTATTTATGTCTTTACTAGGTATATTAAATTTGAACAAGTTTAATGGAGAAATAAAATTACTGATATGATCAAGGTCATTATATCAAAGATCAAGAAGAGGTAAATTTCAATCTAGATCAGAGATGATGGAACAAGTTTACCCTAAAATTATACAGATCAATATAGAACAATCTTTTAATTATTTGACTTATATTTATGTTTTCATTGTCATAGAAAATTTAATAAATGATTTAAATTGGTTAGCTTCATATAATGAAGAATTACGATGAGTAATTTCAAAAACATTTTATTAAGAACAATTTGTACTTAACGAATCTATACATATACGTACATTATTATTATTATTATTATTATTATTATTATTTATTAAAAAGCGTTCCTAATACAAAATATGTGTCAAGAGGCACCCTTCATACATATTAGAAGTATGCCACATCACCATAATATGCTAGTCGAAACCTCCAAAATTTCCCAAAAAGCGTGGATATTAGCCTTCAATTTTGGAATATTTTTGACTTATTTTCACCGGGAAATAAAACTCGCTGAAATATTTACCATGGTCCCTAATACCCTCAAGGAGTCCAATTGGCTGGGAGGAACCATCCAATTTGCCTTTAAACGACCAATTTACCGGTTTACAATTTGCACCGATTTCATTAACTCAAGTTTACCACGAACATTTATGACAACATATAATGATCATATATGGATACAAACGGCATTATATGACCCCTAGATGTATCCCCTAAAATCTCAATGCTTTTCGACACCGGACCCCGAAACATTCGAAATTTCTCAAAAGCGTGTATATTAGCCTTCAATTTTAGAACTTTTTGACTTTTTTTCGCCCGTATATAAAAATTGCCGAAATCTTTATCATGGTCCCAATAACCTCCGGGAGTCCCATTGGGTGGGTGGTGTAGGAGTTTATAGGTACGAATGCGGAAAACATGAATCATATTCATATAGCACCTAATCCCAAGATCATGCATAGCACATAAAGAATTAGAATTAATACCTTTGAAGCGTGATTCCACGTGCGATCGAACAAGAACAGGGGAGATAAAGAACCTCAAGCGTAATTCCTCTACTTGGTCCACAGGCACAGATTAAGACCTCCACTAATGCTAGTTAGTTGCAAATCGAACACTTCAATTGACCTTCTATGGAGTAGAACGAGCAACGAACAAATCACGAACCACCATGAAGGGAGGGGAATAGGCGTGTGGTACAGAGAGAGAGAGAGGTTTTGGATACTGGTTGCTTGGTGCACAATTAACTGTTAATTGTGTTGTCTCATACAACCCTAGGCATGGAATTTTATTTATAGATCTCATATCTAAATAAGAGTCCATGACAAAGCCCAAATCCTAACTCTAATCTAACTATACTAGCCCAATCCAATTCATGATTAGTTACTTGTTCATGAGGCCATAAATGGGCCTCTAACTTGCTTAACCCAATAACTTTGTTATGTGGCCTCATAGGATAGTGGGCTTTGGACTATTTGACTAGCCCAAAGATCAATGATCATAGTCTAGCAACAGATAATGACGACCCAAAAGAACGAACTTATTATCTCCATAATAGTGATCCTTGATATATCTAGTAATTGCACTTATTGAAGACAGAACTCCTTCAAGTAGAACCATCCAATTTGCCTTTAAACGACCAACTTACCGATTTACAACTTACATCGATTTCATTAATTCAAGCCTACCACGAACATTTATGACAACAAATAATGATCATATATGGTTCTAAACGACATTATATGACCCCGAGATGTATTCCCTAGAATTTTCAAGACTTTTCGACATCGGGCTCCGAAGGCTCCAAAAATTCTCAAAAAGCGTATAGCCTTCAATTTTTGAATTTTTCGATTTTTTTTTCGCCCAAAAAATAAAAAATTGTTGAAATGTTTACCATGGTCCCTAATACCCTTCGGGCCTTCGGAAGTCCAATTGGGTGGGTGGAACCATTCCAATTTGTCTTTAAACAATCAATTTACCGGTTTACAACTTGCGTCGATTTCTTTAAATCAAGCCTACCAACGAACATTTATGACAACATATATTGATCATTTATGGTTTTAAAACAGTATTATATGATCGCGAGATGTATCCCCTAAAATCTCAAATATTTTGACACCGGGCTCTGAAACCTCACAAATTTCTCAAAAAGCGTCGATATTATGCTTCAATTTTGGAAATTTTTGATTTTTTTTCGCTCAGAAAGAAAATGCCGAAATGTTTACCATGGTTCCTAATACCCTCCGGTAGTCCAATAAGGTGGGTGGAACCATCCAATTTGCATTTAAACGGCCAATTTACCAGTTTACAACTTCCACTGATTTCAATAATACCAGCCTACCATGAACATTTATGACAACATATAATGGTCAATTATGGTTTCAAATGTCATTATATGACCCTGAGATGTATCTTATAAAATATCATTTCTTTTCGATACCTGGCCCCAAAACCTTCGAAATTTCTCAAAAAGCGTGGATATTAGCCTTCAATTTAGGAATTTTTTTTACTTTTATTCGCCCGAAAATAAAAATTGCCGAAATTTTTACCATGGTCCTAAATACCCTACGGGGGTCCAATTGGGTGAGTGGAACCATCCAAACTTGCCTTTAAAACGACCAATTTACCAGTTTACAACTTGCACCGATTTCATTAATTCAAGCCTACCACGAACATTTATGACAACAAATAATGATCATATATGGTTCCAAACGACATTATATGACCCCGAGATATATTCCCTAGAATTTCGAGACTTTTAGACACCGGGCCCAAAAGACTCCAAAATTTCAACAAAAAGCGTAGATATAGCCTTTAATTTTTGAATTTTTTGACTTTTTTTCGCCTGTAAGTAAAAATTGTCGAAATGTTTACCATGGTCCCTAATACCCTCCGGAAGTCCAATTGTGTGGGTGGAACCATCTAATTTGCCTTTAAACGGCCTATTTACCAATTTACAACTTGCACCCATTTCCTTAACTCAAGCTTATCACGAACATTTATGACAACATATAATGATTATATTTGGTTCCAAACGGCATTATATGACCCCAAGATATAATCCTAAAATTTCAAGGCTTTTCGACACCGGACCTCAAAATCTCCAAAATTTCTCAACAAGCATGGATCTTAGACTTTAATTTTGGAATTTTTTTGACTTTTTTCGCCCGAAAATAAAAATTGCCGAAATATTTATCATGATCCCTAATATCCTTCGGGAGGCCAATAGGAATCGGTGGAACCATCCAATTTGCCTTTAAACGGCTAATTTACCGGTTTAGAACTTACACCGATTTCATTAACTCAAGCCTACCGCGAACATATATGACAATATATAATGATCATATACGGTTCCAAAAGAAATTATATGAACCCGAGATGTATTCCCAAAAATCTCAAGACTTTTCAATACCGGGCCCTGAAAACTTTAAAATTTCTCAAAAAGCGTGGATATAAACCTTTAATTTTGGAATTTATAGACTTTTTTTTTGCTCGGAAATAATACTTTCAGAAATGTTTACCATGGTCCCTAATATCTTTCGGGAGTCAATTTGGGTGAGTGCAACATCCAATTTGCCTTTAAACGGCCTATTTACCGGCAGATAACGTGCACCGATTTTATTAAGTCAAACCTATCACGAACATTTATGACAACAAATAATGATCATATATGGTTCCAAACGACATTAATGACCCCGATATGTATCTCCTAGAATTTCAAGACTTTTCGACACTAGGGCCCAAAACCTCCAAAAAATTTCAAAAAGCGTTGCATATTAGCCTTCAATTTTGAAATTTTTTACTTTTTTTTTCGCCCAGAAATAAATATTTCCGAAATGTTTACCATGGTTTCTAATACCGTCCAAGAGTCCTATTGGGTGGGTGGAACCATCCAATTTGCCCTTTAAACGACCAATTTACCGTTTACAACTTGCACCAATTTCATTAACTCAAGCATACTACGAAATAAATAAT